GGTGGGGGGCCGGCGGAGGCTCTCCCCGCAGCCACGGGCCTGGCGGCAGCCCTGCGGGCATGCCGTGGGGCGATGCCTCGGGGCAGCAGGGGCCCAAGGCGGCAGGCTGCCAGCACGTGGCCTGACCCAGCCCCCCTTTTTTTGCCGAGACTCCCATCTCGCCGCTCGCCCACGTACCACACGGCTCTCCCCCAGCCCTGCCACCTCTTCCCCAGCCCCGCTACCTCTGCTCGCTCTTTGAAGGTGGAGCGGAGGGTAGAGGCAAGAGAAGCGAGCAGCCAGGAACAAGCCCAGAGGAAAAAAAAAAAAAAACCTCTTCCCCAGCCCCGCTACCTCTGCTCGCTCTTTGAAGGTGGAGCGGAGGGTAGAGGCAAGAGAAGCGAGCAGCCAGGAACAAGCCCAGAGGAAAAAAAAAAAAAAAAGGGAAAAAAAAGAGACTAGAAGTGAAAAGGAAAGCGCTGCAGACCTCAGAGCGACACCTCGCAGCTGAGATGGGCCCCTGCCTTTCATACCTGAATCAAAAGCCTCCACAGCCCTTTCAAACTTTCACTCTCTCTCTTTTCTTGGAAAAAGGGGTTAAAAAGAGGTTCCTCCCCGCTAGACTTCCTACCTGAGAGCCTAGTGTCTGCGTGAACCCGTCCATCGGCCGAAAGGAAGCGGTAAGGGTTTGAGGCAAGTGTCGCTACTTTGTTCTGTTTAGGCCTGCTTGTTGCTCAAAGCCTTTCCTGAGAGGCAAACGGTGGTACTTCAAAACAAAGGGGGAAAACAAAAGGAAGGTTTATACACAGCTGCCTGTGGCTTCTGCTGGTTGGGAAAAGATTCCAGATCATCTTCAGCTTATGTACAGTGTCAGGACCTCATCTGAAAGTCTAGGAGAGTGGCCTGCTCTCCCCTCCCCGCTCCGCGGCGGGGAGCTGGTGCATGCAAAACCAGACGGAGAAAAACCCAGAGATCCCGTCCGCGTCCTGGCTCTTGCAAGGGGTCATCTCGGCTCCTAGAGCAGCAGCTGCGAGTCAGGGGTTTTGGTTTGGCAACCTTGGCACATTCGTTTGTGTCTAAGCAACCTGTCTGTCCTGGAGAAGCTCTGCAGGAGACGGAAGAGAAGACGAGAGGAGAGGGGGTTACGAGCCCTTGGCTGGCAAGACGCAGGCCACCGCGGTAGTGCAGGGCAGCGGGTTCCCTCCTCTCAGCTGCAATGCAGGAGCCGACAGCACGAGCAGCTGCTCCCAAACGCACCGTGTGCCAGGTGATAACTCCCCCGTCCCTGACCTGTCCGGAAGCGCGCGTACCAGCACCACGATCCCCCCGGATCCCACCCAGTGGGCAGAGGCGAGCGTTACCTGCATGCAGCGCTCACACTGATAGGGTTTCTCCCCGCTGTGCACGCGCTTGTGGCGCTCCAGGTGGTACTTCTGGATGAAGCGCATGTCGCACACGTCACACTCGAAGGGCTTCTCACCTGGGGGACACCAAGGGCAGGCGGTGAGGGGCAGAAGGGACCGGATGAGAGCCTGTCACCTTGTCCCCTGCTCGATGGCCATGGCATATATCTCTGCGCTGCTAATTCTGGCACACCTGACTGCAGGATCACAAAAGCTCTTGAATTAGGCAATTTCCTACCCATAACAAGCCAGGCTATTAATAGAGCACCTGTGCTCGTCAGGATGGAGCTAATGAGGTAGGAGCAGCCACAGGTCTGCTCAGGGGATCAAGCTCTCTTCTCTAGCCCAAGGACCAGAGCAGCCAGAGCCCAGCAGCCTTCGCGGCCCAGCCCTTTACCCGTGTGGATGAGGATGTGCCTCTTGAGGTGGTAGCTGCTGCGAAAGGCCCCATAGCAGTGCTCGCAAATGAAGTTCTTGGGGATCCTCAGCTGAAAAGAGCCATTCTGTTCGATCACCACCACCTGCAGAGCAGATGCAGCCTGTCAGCTGCCAGATTTCAGCCCTTCACCCTCCTCACTCAGAAATCCTCACCCCAAAGCCCTACTTTAGCCACGGGCCTGCCTGCCCTGTGCGGGCAGAGACGCTCCTTCCCCAAAACCTGCCGGAGCCCAAGAAACCTCCTCCTCCGTCCCGGCAAACCTGGCTGTCGAGTCGAGATCCTCTCAGCGAGGAACGGCTCTGTCCTTCGGCGCTGGCCACCCGCTCGCGACGCTGATGACAGCATAGGTAGGGAAGGTTGGTCCCGAGGGGCGCTGGCTCCTCAGCAGGACTCCCTCAGCCCTGCTCTGCCCCCACCGCGTTACGTCCCATTACCTGCCTTTTTAATGGATTTTTTTGGCTGCGAAGCTTCGGCCGTCTCCTCCTCTTTGCGGCTGCGAGACTTCTCGCCATCCGGACGGAGACCCTTTGGAGAAAACCAAATTCAGACCTCCTCCTGCGTCCCCGGCCCCTCTCCCCTCTCCCCAGAGCAAAGCGCGAGCGCGGCTATAAAGCTCGGGGCAGCGGGGAGCTCTGCCATACCAGCACGTCTGGGCTGCTTCCTCTCTCCCCGTTCTCTGCCTGTTTA